CAAATCCCATCCCCACCAAAGGGAAGGTGGCTGGGACCTGAGGGTGGGGTTCAGCAGCCAGGTTGGTATAAAGCCAGACACGTGGGCTTTGGAGGGGTCCCCCATTTTGGCTCTCCGCCAGCTCACAGCATCCGGCCAGCTTGGAGAGTGACTTTGGGTTTCCAGGTTGGCGGATCGGGTAGGACGCATTAAAGACTTTATTTCCCTATTTTCTCCCTGAGTTGTACATTTTCTTTATTTTCTTTTCCCATGTAAATAAACCTTTTATTAACTTTTTGTGTGTGCCTGTAGTGGAGTATTCATAAGTCCCTTTTAAGCGCGTGGGTGAGGACCCACAGCCAGGCAAACCCGTTCCATATCGGGGCTGCCCTATAACAGTACCAACCAAAAATCCAGGTAGGTATCACTGGCTACCTCAAAAAGCATCATGTTCACAGTAATTATTTCTTCCTCTAATTTTTCTTCACTACATTCATCTGTTTTTTACACACAGTCAGAACAGAACATGTCTGCAAAGAACCCAGAACTCTGGGGGCCCACAGTCAGTGGTCAAGAAAAGCAGCTGGTCCAAGGGGACTAAGGAGCTTTGGCACATGTTTGATCTGTACAACATTATAGGGAGAGGTAGAGAAAGGAAGACTTGGGGATCTGTGTATTTTAAACTCTGCTCCTTTTCAAATACCCCACTTTTACACTAGGTGAAAGCCAAAGGGAACTTTTCTGGATCTGAGCAGGATATTTAGCTATCCCTCCATGTCTGGGGGGAAAAGTCCACAGAACCCCATGGGCCATAACTGAGGCTGTGACAAATCATTGACCTGAATAGCTCTTCTTTTATTTGAGAGTTAATCGAAAGATTAAAAATATTAAATTTAAAATAAAGATAATAAGCCAAAGTATTAAGATATAAGACATTTATAGGATAATTCTTTACAAAACCAGAAGTACATTATCTTGTGTTTTTTTTCCTTTTTTTTTTTTTTTTGTGGGACCCTAGCCAGTGGCAGGGGAACGAACTGGAGCTGCAGAGGCTACAGGCAGCCTCACAGCCCAGCGCTCAACCACTGCACCACCAGGGGAGGCCCAGCAGTACATTATCTTATAGAAAATTAACACTTTCAAATGTATAAAGAAATATTAACTGTATGAAAGAGAAATGGAATATAATGAAAAGAGAACAGGAAGGAATAAAAAGATATGACAAAATGAGGAAAGAATTGGGTAAGGAAATGAAGACTTGCTAGAAAATTCAAAATGCAATTGCAAAATTGAAACTGCTATTGGCGGCAGTAAAATACAGATTTAACTTTACAAAAAGTAGAAGCTGCAGTGTGGATGACCACTCTGATAGGCCAAAGTTAGGCCTCTTGTCACCTTAGTATAAGAATTAGAACTCAGTCAAGGGCCTATGAGCCTCTGGAGGGAACTTCAAAATGCAGATTGTTTGCGGATAAGAACAGGGAGGGCCCTGAGGCTAGTGAAAGCTTCAGTTCTTAATTCAGCCCCTCCCTAAGGGAAGAGATCTGTTTGTGCTTCTCCCCTTGTTCTCATCAAAGAAGTGATATCGATATCTGATCTCCCTTTATGACCTAGAAGAATACAGTTTGGGGATCTCATCCAGTTCGAGGTTTACTGGTAAACATATTTTAAGAATCTCATCTTTATTCTAAGAGAAAGGATGAGGTCACCCCCTCCTTGACTCTCATATGAAGTCACCCCTCTCTATCTTTGATGTCTCAGGTCCTAAAACTCAAGATAAATATTTCAGGGCTGCTCTATTATTCTTCATTATTTACAATCATGGAAATTCTTCACACATGTGTTATAACGTCATTGTTTTCCCTTTGCTAACCTTTCTGATGCTTTTTTGATGATTTGTCCATCTTGACAAGTACCCAGAAGGGTATAGGATGATTTCTCTTATGCCCTGAGAATTCTATTTCTTGCATGCCAATTTCTGTTAAAATGTTTGCTTTTAACATATTTATATTTCTGGAGTTATAGAATAAATACCAGGATTTATGGAAGATGACTGGAATATTCTTATCTAGATATTTTAAAAAGTTGTGGTAAAATGCATATAACATTTAACATTTTTGCTATGTTTAACCATAGCATACGCAGTAGCATTGGATACATTCAAGTTGCTGTGCTGCCATTACCACCATCCAACTCTAAAACCTTGTTCATCTTCCAATACTGAAACCCTATCAATTGAGCAATTATTCCCTATTCTCTCCATCTTCCCAGCCCCTGCAAACTACCATTTGACTTACTTTCTATGAATTTGAGTAGTCTTATTGCCTCATCCAGGTGGAACATGCACTATTTTCCTCCTGTGATAGACTTACTTAAATTAGCAAAATGTCCTCAAGCTTCATCTATGTTGTACTGTGTCAGAATGTCCTTTCTTTTTAAAGACTGAATAAAATTCCATTGTATGCATTACCATATTTTGTTTACCCATTCATGTGTTGATGAATAATTGGGTTGCATTCTCTTTTGGATATTGTGAGCAATGCTGCTATGAATACTGGTATCCAAATACCTATTCAAGTCTCTGCTTTCAGTTCTTTTAGGACTACACCGAGCAGTGTGATTCTAGATCATGTGGTAATCTATGTATAATTTTTTGAAGAACCACCATATTCTTCCACAGCGACCACTAGTGAAGCACAAGCATTCCAGTTTCTCTAGATCTTTGGCAAACTTAAACATGTTTCCCTCTAGATGGAATGATTATGTGTTGAAGAAGATAAAAAGAGCTAGAATGTCTTTAAATTCACATCCCCACCCCCATCTTGTCATCTGTGATGCATTGCCTGAAAGCGATAACTTACTCAACAGCTCACTACTTGCCTGAAACAGTTAACAAAGCTTATATTAATACATGACTTTCTCTTAAAGAACAGATTGTGTACCCAATTTAATCTTTAAATACTTGTAATAATGTGTTATTCAAGGCATATGTGTCTCCATGCTCTGCTGTTGATAGAGTAAGAATGATGCCAGAGTGCCATTAATTGTTGGTATTTTGGAGGGGGAATAAAGATAGAGGAACTTGTCTTGGGTTAATTTCCTAATAACAGACTCAGACATGAAGATTTGTGTAAAAATGACTTACTGTGAAGTACTTCCAAGAGGAACTGTAACAGCAGGATCTTCTTGAAATGGGGACATTCCAGGTGCCTTGTCCTACTTAATGAAGGGTGGAGCTGAGTGACCAGGTAAAGATATAGAAACTTGGAGAAACAGGAGAGGAGGCACATGGAGCAGAGAAATGTGATAAAATCCTGCTTGCTCCTTGGTTTTGGACTTGTACCAGGGGCTTTGGGGAAATGGAAGGAGACACATGGAGTCAAGACAGGTAGAGACACTTGGAAGAGATGTAGGTGAGAGACATGTGCGAAGGCTGACAGTGGCAGCCAGTATCTTGATTTGTACTTTAACTTTGCTTCTGGCCCTTACTTGCCTCACCCCGTCTGCCCCTTTCCTATGGTTTCCTGCCAGAAAGTGCCTTAGACTTATGGCAAGCTTTTGGGTCTCAGCAACCCTGCTTTGGGACAACCCCATTTTGATTTGACTACACATTTGCTCATGAGGGGATAGGTAACTTTTAGGGAAACCATATCCTTTCTCCCCTCCCCTCTCTATGCACGTTCTATGAAAGATCTTTCACACTTCTTTCATACCAAGAATCTGTTTTGTCTCTATGCAGTTAATGGCAGAATCCTTTTAGAGTGGGCAAGTTTGGGGTTGTTGGAGTACCCCCTCATCTACCCACTAGAAAAAATTCTAGAGAAATGGGAGAAGAGGGAAGAGAAGGTGAGTCATACAGTGTGCAATGTCCAGGATACAATATTGTGGAGCAATCTCTCTCCACAGAAAATCACTTTGGCTCAGTCCTGCAGGGGAACTGTAGAGATAAGCTGGGTCACAGCTCAGGGTTGTCTAAATCAGGGATAAAGGGGGTGGAGTATGTGTCAGCTGTTGGTAAGCATTTCTAGTTCTCCTGTGCACACAGGCAAAGCAAGTCCTGGCAGTTTTAGGCAACCCTCCCAACAGAAACACAGGGGTGTTGGCTGTTGGGATAGAAAGCATATGGGAGGTGTGCATAAAAATGGTCTGCACACTGCCAGCCTCTGTCATAGATGTCAAAGAAGGCAATGTGTACTCTGATGAGAAGACAGGTAGAGATTCTGGTCAGGTGCATTTAGTGTCAAGACCTTTAATATAAATAACACAAAGAAAGTACTTTGTATCAAAACTTTATTTATTAAACAAAAAATGCACCATTGGAATAACATTTCTATAAAAAATGAATATGAGACTGTTCTACAGTGATTACAAAACCCCTTTTTCCTCATGTAGTAGTATACAAGATCTTGTAGAAACAGTCATTGTTTTAAACTGTAAGCAAGTTTCCTTTCTCATAGAACAAGATTTACACTTAAATATTGCAATCACTAGTCTAATTTGGTTAACAATGCTAGAGTCTGACAATAAAGAAACTCTTTGCAGGCTCAAAATACCTTGTTTTTTAAGGTGTTTTGTAGCCACAAAAAATTTCTTTTTCCACTAAGGCTAGTTAAAGCTGTAGTATGCCCATTTCTACCATATAAACCTACCACTAGCACACTAACAATTTGTCTGAATTGCAAAGCCCTTTGAGAGAACGAGTAGCATTGATTGGCAAAATGCTATCAGAATATTTTAGGTTTGGCGTTACTTTGTTTGAAGAACCCTGGAAAGGGAGAAGGCGGTGAAGATGGAGCTTCAGTGGAGGCTTTGCCTGGACTTATCCTCATACTCAGCAATGGACAATTCATTTCTAAAGTGGTCCCTCTGAGATATGGAACACTGCAGCTTTAACAGTCGTATCTAGATTCCCAACCAGATCTCCCTTTTTATCATAAATTATCCAAAAAGAAGCCACTCTAAATAATAAATTAAATATTACTTATAAAAAGTACACCCCATACCCACCCTCCCACCCCCCAAACAAGCTGACAATTCACAAAGGTCAGAATTGTCAGGGTTACCCTACAATAATAAAAAACACTATTTCTCCTCCTTCCTAACATTCCTTTCTTTCTTGCATCTGAAAATACACTTTCAGCACACAGTGAGATAGATCCCTTGGTCCATGAGTCTGTGTTTATGACATTTTGTAGAGTTTTGCTGTTGCTCTCCAATCAACAAAAAAATCACAGGATGATAATATACAAAGGCTCTCTACTGAGAGCAGGAGAAGAAATCCTTCAGAGAGTGCAACTAGAAGTCCATGGAGCAAACATTATCTGAGAGTGGCTTGGAGAGCCCAGAAGTAATATCCGTTGATTCGGGCATGGTACTTGGTCTTCTATATATCCTCACTGACCAGAAAAGACTCAGGCATTTCTTTTCAGAAATTTCCTTTCTCAAGCATTTCCTTAAGGATATAGGTATTGGATAGCAAGGTACATTGGGGGATGTATCTGTATATTTTTTGTTGGAATAGAATACCATACAAAACATCTACCTATGATTTTCCACAGTATCCAATTTAATTTAAAACACTGGAATCAGCTGAAGAGCTTTCCTATATAATATTAGAGTGACTTTTGAAAGTCACTGGTGAAATAAAAATTATGGGTAAGCTGTTGCTTTCCAAAGTGACTTTAAAAACAGGGAGTGTATGGATTTGACTGTTAGGACTGCTTCTGCCGTGCTGGGATGTTGTGAGCTCTGTATTGTGTTATTGTGTGGCTGGTTACAGCCTAGGATACTAACTTCTGCCTTTCAGGAAGGTCTAGTTGTATGAAGTAAACTGGGTGAGGGAGAGAAAACCACTTTGCCCCACATTATTAGATAGTTCAGACCATTTTGTTTTTAAACACAACTAAGACTAGGGGATTTTTCTACTTTTCTTTCTCTCATGGACTGGCCATGAACATTCTAAGGAAACTGCAAGAAATATGAGTCTGGGATATAATTTTATCTAAATGGGAAGTGCTTTTGAGGTGTCCCTTTTTGTTGGAATGACAGGTCAGTTGCCATGTCTTAGACATTGTTTTAAATTTGGAGAGGACTTCAAGATGTAAAGACAGATGTGTCTGTTGGAAAACAATAAGTAACCTCCAGAAGACTTGTGTGCATTGAGAAGTTCTTTACTGGAAAAGCCAATGAGCACTGATCTTTATAGTTCTGGAATAAGACCCTTGTGTTAGGCAACTCCTTGTGCAGCTCTTACCAAAGCAGGGAAGTGTAGATACACCTCATCTGCAGCAGGTTTAATTTTGAAGAGAGTAATGCCATGTCTGATTCCTGACCAGAAGCCATAATAAATTCACCTCTTGTATCTTTGTTTTGTGTTTTTTTTTTTTTAGATTGTTTAGTTGTCTGTGCATTTTATAATACCCAAATGTAAAGTTCCATTCTTTAAATATTCTAGAGGTTTACAGCTCTTTTCTATAAAGAGGTAGCTCTGACTGTTTTTTTTTTTTTTTTGTGGAAAATGAATCACTAAGAAATATTTAACTTTTGACTAGAGCAGCATCTAAATGTGCTTTCTGCAGTTTGAGCTATCCTCATTTTTGCGAGTTAAACAAATGCAGGACTTTTCTAGAGGAAAGAAAATAGCTTTCTTATCAGAATGAAATGCAAAAGGAAAACAAACTTTTTCAAGAAGCTCCTACATGCTTGACAGTTCAGCGTGATGCAGGGGAAGCCTGAGCATGCCCTGCCAAGTTTTATTTTCTTCTTTTTCAGGGAGAAATGAGTCCTGGTGGCAGGGCTGCTGGTTGGTTGTCAACATTGCCTTATGGGATCTGGAGAGATTTATGAGCTTAAAGAGCCCTATACATTATGAATTACACTCAGGCTAGGAGCAATGTACAGGCTATCTTGCCATATTCATAGGTTTATTCTTGTCAAGAGATCAGGAGACTGGGAAATTAAAAAGTTACCTGAAAACTTAGGCAGGCAGTTTTACACATATGTGAACCATCTGAGAGAAGGGGGAGCAGAGTTGTACAGAAGTTGTGCTAAAGGCATTGCATATTAAAACCTCTAGGTGAGTTACAAGAGGTTATTTAGAGAATTTAAATGCATTCTACTGTATATTCAAAGCATGGAGCTAAGATGTATTAGCATGGCCAGTTACTACAATAAGCCATTATGTTTGTTTAATGAAGAAAGTTTCAAGAGAATGCAGCAGAAAGATACCTTCCACTGAAAACAAATAAGATATATTTTCATGTACTTTTAATGGTTTTGATTTCTTAAGGTCATTGACTTTGACTAGTGGAATCTAGACATTTGGGAAATATGTGAGTTACCTTGGTTTTCCAAATACGGTCTACTATAGATTGAAACTGTGATGCAATCACAGTTCAGAATGACAAACCCATTCCAGGCTATATGTTCAGGGTGATCTTTCTTAAATGAAAAATGCCTTTTTCAGAGAATGTCCCTTGTTTGTGAGTATCAGAAAAGGGAGACTATTCATTCTAGGACCTCCTGAAGATAAGCCTAGCAGAATGAACATTTTCTTTCCTGAAGTTTTGGATTTTTCCTGCCAAGATTCAATATTATGTTAAGAAATGCCTGTTCTAGGTCAGTGGAGGGTTGTCTTAAGTTGCCCAGATGTTGAACAAAAGTAATCTGCCCCATAGAATAATGTTGCATAGCTCCACAGATGGACTTTAAGAAAATCAGAAAATTGAATAAGCACTCTTGTTGAAGGAACAATTTCACAAATGGACCGAACTTTCTAATGAACCATTTGAACAAGCCCTCTCTTTGACATCAGATTTCCTTCCCGACATAAAACTGTAAAAAAATAATCTGAATTATTACTTCTGTTACAGTGCCGTTTTGCTCAAAATATTTCATTCGGGGATTCATATATAATTACCCACCTAATAAAAGGAGCTATTAGGTTGTAAAGATCCTATCCCTTCCATGCTCTTTTAAAATTATGACCTACTCAAGCTTGAAATCAAAGGCAGAGCTGAAAGGAATAATTCAGCTGAAACTCTCTTATTGGGGTTTCAAGTCACCTAACTGATAAATATGCAAACTAGCTCCCTTTTGGCAATTCAGCTGCATAAACAGGGATTAACTCCAAATGCAGCTGAGAATCTGAAACTAAAAGGGTGCACACAAAATGTTCTTAACTTCACCTAGTTCCAAGCTGGAGATAAACATGGCAATTAGAAGTTTAAAATTTTAGCTCACAATGAAGACGGGGCTTTGAAAAGCTTGACTTGTGGTATGTCAGAGTGCAAAGTGGCACCTCCCCGCTTGCTCCTGACTCTGGGTAGGCATGGTGTAGAAGGGTCCCTTCACTGCAGACCCTGGTGGCTGCCACTTCCCAATGCTGCCTGCTCTGAGTCGGGGAGGACCCTGGTCGTGAAAGTGGCATCACTCAAGAGAAGGTACGGCTAGAAACTGCCTTCCATTTCCCTTCCCTTCCTCAGGGCCTGTTCTTAGGGAGTCTGCTGTTTCCCCAGTGGGTTACAGAGATGGTCAGGAGGCTCCCTGCATGGTGGCCACCTGATCCAACTGATCTAACGCTGTTGTCAAGCAGAACACAGGAAGGGACACAGATCTCTCCTGCCAGACTCCGGAAGACCATGGCCTAGGTGAAGCTTTGAAAGGTCATCACAGTGTGGTATGGCACAAAGCCACCCAAATGGAAACGCGTCCCCTCACAAGCATAAACACGTAATTACTGTGTATCTGAGAAGACTGTACGTTGTGTCTTCTCTTAGGAAAGGAAGTGCTGCTGGCTACGTGCCATTCATTGCAGATATTTATGTTCCAATTTTCCAAACATATATAGTAACTGAGGGTGGATTTACAAATACTTGCTAAAATGGGTGAATTTTACAGCCACTTGCTAATATCCACCACTTGGGTGAGATGAATGACTGAGTTACAAAACATCAGCCTTCGCTGCCTTTTGTTTGTATACTGATTTACTTTTTGTGCTGTCAGGAAAACACCCAATCCTTTGGTGCTGTGTTGTAAGAGTATTCCCATAGGTGCTTTGTACTTTAAAGTTGAAAACATAATGGTGAGCTTGCACTGATCTGCCATGGCATGGTACAGGCTTAAGTAATGCACTTGCATTTTGTAAGACTAGAGCTACACGTTAAAAAAAAAAAAAAAAAGGGTCTTGATGGAGGAAAACAGAAGCCTCAGTTAGGATGGTGTGGTTACTGTGATGGCAAAGTCCCAGGACTAATCGAGCAGCTTCTGCTTTGACATTGCAGTGAAGATGTATCTTTGCTGTTGTTTAGGGACCCCAAAGTTATCATTTAAAAATTCCTGATGCCTATGAAAGAAGGGATGCTTATTCTTTCTGAACTGCTTCAGGATCTTCCATAACTGGGTGGTCCTAGTGGTTAACCTGTACACTGGGTGCATTCTTGGACACAGGTGTGCTGTTTATGGGTAATTGGTATGCTGCAAAGTTCCCGGAAAATTCACCTCATCAATTCAGCAATATGTGTTAAAAGGCCGAGCCTGTGATGGCATTAAGTTGCTTCATTAGCCCTTCCAAACTTGCCATTTGTTCACTCAAATCATCCTGTTCGTACACCTACAGAGAGAATGAGAGCAGAGTTAGTAAAGGTGAATATCGATACATTCCTTGTAATGAAAGCAGAGGCCATGTCTGGTTGGTTCTCTCTGTTCTCTAGCATAACACTGTATTTCATAGCTGGAGGTTATGCTCAGAATTGTGATCATTGAATGAAGATGCTGGTGATGAAAGGGATGGTAATAAATGATTGCATTTATTCACCAACTTTTTTCCTGCAATGAGGAAAAAACTTTCGAGTCAAACAGATGTTGTTTCAAGTCATGTTCCACCATTCACTAGCTGTGTGACCTCAGACAAGTTAGTGAACCCGTCTGACACACACACACACACTTAGGTATTAAATGATGGGTGATGATGATATCTATGTCATGGATTATTTTGAGCATTTTGTGACTTGTTTATGCCTATCATTATGTCCAGCACATGGTGCACATTCACCACATTGCTCTTTTCCTTTCTTTCACCCATGAGAATAGAATTTGTATCATCAGGCTTCTTTTCTTTAAAACACAACATAGGGATATTTGTGTGTGGGAGTTTGTGGGGCACTTTCTTGATGAATGAAAGGTCTGAGGATTATGATTTTGGTTTGTGTGTGGAAACAAAATTCTTACCTACACCAGTTCTGGCTCTATGCCTGGTTGTAAAGGTAACCTTATGACTTGCTCTATGAAAGCTGTAAAGGTGATCTTAAGGCACAATTTAATTGGAGGACAACATGAAGATGTTGAATTTCAGATCTTGGTGAACATATTCTCTACACTTCTCACTCCCTAGGAGCCACTAGAATTATATTATTAGTAATAATGGATTGTAAGTTAGCACAGATCCTCAGGATCTGTGATTCAAGGATTCTGATTTAGTAGTTACAGGAAAGACTGGAAATCTTGTTTCTTCCCCAGGTAGGTGTAATGATCCATCCTTGATGGAAACAAGCAGAAGAGCACCAAGGCTGGTATGAATTTGTTTGTTTGTTTTTTAAAGATTTATTTATTTATTTGTACAAGCACTGGGTACAGTCAGAAGCATGGGAGGGTGAGAGAATTCACCAGAGCCAGAGCAGGGAACAAAACAGGCAGACAGATGGAGGACACTGCTGAGGGGAGCAGTGGGCGCAGCAGGGAGGTCTGTCGTGCCATGTGGGATCCTCGCTGGCGGCCGGGGATAGAACCTGCACTGCAGAGGCTGTGGGCAGCTTCGCAGCCCAGCGCTCAACCACTGCGCCACTGGGGAGGCCCGCTGCTGTTAATTTGAATCCCAGTTCTTTTACTGATGACACTTGAATACATGGATTTGAACTGTGTGGGTCCACTTATACCTGGAATTTTTCACCACCCCCTACCTCTTCCTCTTCAATCTACCAATGTGAAGATGAGGATGAAAACTTTTAGGATGATCCACTTGTGATTTTCTTTTCTCTAAATAGCTTTATTTTAAGAGTACAGTATATTATGTATACAATATGCAAAAACTGACTGCTTATATTATCAGTAAGTCTTCCTGTCAACACTAGGCTATTGGTAGTTAAGTTTTGGATGAATGAAAGTTATACGCTAAGTTTAGTCTGTGTGGCTGGTGGTGGAGGGAGGGTTGTTCAAAGTACAATAGTATATAGTTCCTCTTTTTGAGTCTGTTTCCATACTCCTCAAGTGGAAATAGCAGTGTTGACTCATTAGGTAGTTGGGGGAGATTCAGTAAATCAGTGTTGGTGAGTAATTAAGTGCTCAGTAATTTCTTAATTTCTTTTTTCCCATTTTCTCAGCATGCCTTTTTTTTTTTAAAGATTTATTTATTTATGAATATAAGACTAGGGTATAGGCCAGAGATATGGGGGGTGAGAGGATTCACCAGAGACAGAGTGGGGAACAGAATAGGCACATGGACTCAAAATACACTGCTGAGGAAAGCAGTGGGCAAGACAGGAGGCTCGCCCATGTGGGTAGCTCCCTGGCCAGGGATCGAACTCGTGCTTCAGTGACTGCAGAGAGCTTCATAGGTTGTGTCTTATCCCCTTGCACCACCAGGGAGACCCTCAGCATTTATTTGATTCAGTTATTGAATGAATAGGCCTGCGTCAAGATTTCTAGATCTGTATAGGCAGGGAAACATTACTTAATATCATGGTTACAGTGTATAATCTCATCCTGCCAGATAAATACTCTTGATCCCATTAGAACACTGGTGGAGAGTATGTGGTAGGATGAGCACAATGCCACTTGACCCACTAGAAAATTCTCTCAAAATACATGGTATTAAACATGTTGGAAGTGGTACCTTCTTAAAGAATCTCAGCATGCCAATGAATAATTTGTTCACATACCATATAATCCTCAGCATTTAATGGGGACTGCAAAGTAGCCCATATAGTTCAAAAAAATTAGTCTGTCTATGAGGAGAGAGATTGAAGTGAACTCATTAGTTGGTATCATTTCCCTAAATGTGGTCTTAGTTGTTTGGGCTGTTTTTCTTGAATTACCTAGATTTCATTGTTCACTACAACCATCAGCTATACGTAGCTATTGGACTTCTAAAATGTGGCCAGTTTGAATTGAGATATATTGTACATTTAAAATACACACCAAATTCTGAATACTTACTACAAAAGAAGTAAAATATCCTGTTGGATATTTTCTATGTTCATTGCACATTGAATGATAATGCTTTGGAAATTCTGGGTTAGATGAAAGATATTAAAATTAAGTTCATCTATTTGTTTTAATTTTCTTTTTTCTTTTTAAAGATTTATTTATTTATACAAAAACCAGGATACAGGCCAGATGCGTGGGAGGGTGAGAGGATTCACCAGAGATAGAGCGGGGAGCAGAACAGGCAGACTGACGAAATATACTGCTGAGGGGCACAGGGGGCGAGACAGGAGAGGTCTGTCGCGCCATGTGGGACACTCGCTGGCCAGCCGGGATCGAACCAGCGCTGCAGAGGCTGTGGACAGCTTCACAGTGCGGCGCTGAGCCACCAGGGGAGGCCCTCACCTATTTGTTATTTCATTTCTAATGTAGACTCCTAGAAAATTGAAAGTTACACATGTGGCTCTTATTTCTACAAGACAGAGTTGATATAGATTTTTGTCTCCATTTTTGTTATTTCCTTTAATTACGTTTTTTACTATTCTTATTTTATTATTTGTAGTACCGAAAACAAGAAGTACAAGGGAAAAGTCAAATTAGATGATGCTAATTTTTTTCATCTTTTCCCCCTTTTCAATCCTTTGATTTTCCAAGGTATCTGATGTGTTAGTCCCTTAGCTTTCCTTTAAATGCTTTCTCTTGAATTATATTCAGAAACACTCTAGAGTTTTTCTAAATCGCTGCCTCTAGGCAACATCTTTTCATATCTCCTACACAGTGCATTTTTGAGAGAAATGTTTGTTCTCAAAATTATTTTTCTTTTTGCCTCCATTGATATTTCTTAATTTTCTAATTTGATCACATTTTAGCTGATTCTTTTATTTCCCTTCATTAGTAATCTTTCTTTCATGAAATATTTATATCTTCTAAATGTCAGTTCTTCCTTTTTCTTCTTAAATTCCTCTCATTTCTTCATTTTGCACATTTCTCTCAATTCTGTATTTGAAGGCTATTTTATGGTTTCAGAAATCACATGTAAAATCTCCAGAGTATAGTTTGTTTTCTTATTTTTTTTTATTTTAAAGAACAATTATATAGTCTTATTTCCAGGTATGCCAAAATATTTCATCCCATTGAAAAGGACAAACACAGAGATATTATATATGTATATACATAGTCACACTCGCTAGTCATCTGCTTGTGCTTCTAACATTGCCTCTAAGTACTAATCACTCCTTCACCTTGCACAACATGAATTTCAGGGGCGCCTTACGTTGGCTGGATCCTCCGTTGGTTTATGGCTCTCCTCAGACACTTCGGGGGCTGTTGGCACAGAAACAGGAAGCAGAGGGGATCTTGCCTTTCCAGCTAACCCAAGAGAGGCTGTTTTAACATGAGTCTTGGGAAGAGTAGGCCCTGAAATAGAAAACACAGAGTGATGAACGTAATGTATAAAACATTCTGGGGAACAATCTCTCAAGCGTGGAAGCCAACTCCAGTGGGTTGGCATTGATTTTAGGTTATTGTTCATTTTGTAGTATAGAGATGGATTCTGACACAAAGAATGGGCTCATTTTATTTCTACTGAATGGAAGACAAATTCTGATTAGGCCTTTCCAGATGAAGCTCCACCAGTCATAGGTAATTTCTAGTGGGTTCCAAATCATGCTGTGAGGGGCTGGCTGGGAGCTCCAGACTGTTCATCACATCCTATAAAGTGTCAGGTGAGCTCATTCAATGTCACACTCAGTTTTGGGCCAGACAACCCTGTGCTAAACCACATAAATAAGCCCCAGATGGCTTAGTAGTACCAAGGAATACTTATGCAGTTGAAAGACATGGTCGTTCTAGTCTATAAATGAGCATTAGATGTTATAGCAAAAACAAAGTCCTTTATGTTTAACTTGATAGAATCTCATTACTTATTTTCTTGGGGTTGGGGGAGGGATGTAATGCATTGTTCTATCCTAATCGCTATAGCTTCTCTCCAAAAATTACATTCTAATACTCATGAATGTCATTTGAGGAACAGCTGAGTTTCTACCAGAAGGCATTTTTGTTTGCTATACACAAAGGCTACCTTTTCTTTTGGAGTTGAAATTTGCCTTACAAACCCTACTTATAATAGTAATTTAACTTTGACCCTGTAGCCTAAAATAAAAATTTGATAAAGGTTTATGGAATCAGTTAGTGTATCAGTTATGTATCTAAGGGCTTTTGTTATTCTTAGCCTATTAACCAATACCTCAGTATGGAAGGCATTAAGGTACATGGTAGAAAGAAGCTTTCCTCAGTTCTGTCATCAGTGACAATATTTGAATTTAAATGATCCCAATGGCAAACTATATTTAAAGTGAAAATGTTGGTTGGACCATACCTTGGGAAACATAATTCTAGTTAGTAAAACTGAAAAAGTTGTTACACAGTCAGAAAAGGAGGGAGCAGTGGCTTATTGGAAAAGAAATAATGCAAACAATTGACTAAGTCAGCAATTTGCTGTATATAGGCAAAATAAATGAGAAATCCTAATAAAAGTATTTCATCCATTGCTTAGCATGTAATTCCTTCATATTTATACCATTTTTATTCTTAAACTTCAGGGATCAAAAGTGTGCAGTTGGAGTGATTTATCACTAGAGGGTGATCTTAAGTTTTTAGTAGCTCAGATGAAAAGCAATATAGAGATTAAGAAAAATATAAGCCATTTTCTTTCACAGAGGAAATAACATTTGCTGACTGCCTACTAAGCTCCAGACCTATGCTAAGTATTCTAGTTCACTTTAGACAAAAATAACAGAATGGGGAAGAATTGCAGATTGATCAAGGTAATCGCTTTCAGATTCTGGAAAGCTCAACTATGTAATAATCATGTAATTCTTTATCAATTAGCTCTCCCTGCCTATTCATCTGTAAAGTGAGAATGATAGTAATTGGTTATGATTAAATAAGACTATGTATTTTAAGGGCTGATACCTGTAATTTATTGAAAGAGAGCTAGTTATTATTAATATTTAATTGTCAAAATAACCCTGCTGTTATTTTTAGTTCACATATGAGGATGCCAAAGTGGAGAGAAACTACCTTGTCAAGTTCACATATTTAGAAAAGGGAAGGCATAATAAAAGTTTGCACCAAGTTCTAATTCCATTGAGGAAACTAAGCTTTTACCATTACTATGTTGATCTAGCCCATCCAATTTACATGAGCTTTTTGAAGATGCCATGTAAAAGAATAGAAAAGCCACTTCAAAGATTTAAGTTGAAGGCACAAACTATTGTGTTATGGTTTCTATAGCTGAATTAAGCTTTAATTTAAAGGGAACAGATAGAACTCATAAACGCCAACATTGATCTAAGCTACTTTTATTGCCATGTCATTTAAATATATATAAACACAAAATTTACATAAGTTTTATAAACTTGTTGTTCTTATACTATGCAATAAAACCAAATATACTATAAAAGCAAAGTTATAAAAATAGTACAATTGTTATAAAAATAGTACAATTTGAATTCACATCATTAATTTAATGTGATGAATGAGTTTGAAGGGGTAAAGCAAAATAGTCATAGAAATTTGGGACTAATATTTCACAAGTCTTTTTAATTCATATGTGTTCAGTTTTCACTATCAGTTTTCTCTTGTTGAACAAAACATTCATTCTTTCAGAGAATGTAATGTACGCTGGTCCTCACTGGATGTAAACAAACAATTTGTACATTAAATCTACATCTATCCTTTTCTCTTTTTGCTTCTGGCTATAAACACAGTATCCTGCAATCAATTTACTTGTAAACCCAAATACAAAGGCAGGCACTAAAAACCCTGGCAGAATGAAGCTATAAAATGGCCCACCAGATGCTCCAAAGTGTGGAATTCACATTAATATTGTAGATGATTACTTAAGTGAAAGCACAAAGTGTGAAGCATTTTCATAGAGCGCTGGTGAAGTTGGAGAATGTATCTAATGAGGCTCTACTATGAGTTATATTTTCTGAATTATGTTTATATTGTCTTCCAGAATATTTACAATGTTCTGCTTAACCGTGATTTAGCCTTACTGCCAAGAAAAGTTGTTTCTCTTAGCTCATTCCATGACCCACCTTTTTCATTCCTGCATTTAACAGGGTAGCTGCATTTTAATAAGTAATACTTTCTGTACATAACACTTTTATATTTTTTGCAACAATTTTGACTTAGCTTTCCTTGATGATAAACTTATATTTTTAGCTTTAATTTTTTTAAGAGACCAAACTATGTCTACAAACTTTACAATTTAACTTTTCACCAAATGCATGCAATGTTCACTCTAACACAAATATTTTTAAAGAGAATTACATAAGAAAAGAAAACAGCATGAGCATAATTTATTATGTAGGAAAGTCAAATAGGTCTGGTGTCTGTTTTATACTAGACACCATATAAAGATTCTTTTATGATTTATCAGACTTTCATAAAATTCCTTAATATTTGACTTTTTTTATTTCTGTTTTGGATGCCGAGAAACTACAATCTCACTACAAAAGTATATTCTGATGGCATATTTACTACTCAAAATCTTAAATACTTGGGTAAACCCACAGTGTATTATCACACTTGCATTATCACAATGAGATGCAGGTATGCCTGCATAACTCAAAGCCGTCACAAAGAAGATCATTAGAGTAATTGATTTTCTCTAGTGTAGAGGCAACAGTTATACATTCAGAACCTACTGAGTATTGAACAATAAAGGAGACACAGTGTGTTTTACAAAAGGAAGTGAAGACATTGCCTGGACTCAAAGACCACACAGTGTTTAAGCCTCATGTGGCCGCCTTTTCCAAGTAATATTCACAGATTCAAAGGAATTTATAAACTTGGAACTTTCAGGACTCTTGGAGTTCACCTGGTGACCTTCACTTTATTTTGCTGAAGAGAATGTAAGGCTGCTGGAGATTAAAAGATCAAGGTAGAATTATTTTCAATGCCCTTCCAGAATAGGCGAAGAATTTCAGCCGTCTCTTAGGATTCCTTATTAGCAGGTTTGTCTAAGTACTATATGACCTTAAATATTTTCCTTTCCATTTCTGAGTGGGGAATTATTTTTTTATTTTTTTTTTAATTTAATTTTTATTTTTATATACCCCATACAATTACAACCCCCTTATTTTGACCCCAAGCCCTCCTTTCCCCGCCCCCTACCCCCATAGAGTGTCTCTGGTTCATAGTTGTTTGTTGATTTTGATATTTTCTTTCTTATAGTTATTATTTTTCCTGATCCCTTATTTACATTTTCTAGATTCCTGCTATGAGTGAGACCATCTGGTATTTTTCTTTTTCTTTCTGGCTTCTCTGAGCATGATCCCTTCCAGTTCCATCCATGTTGCTACAAATTGCATGTGTTTATCTTTTTTGATTGCTGAGTAATATTCCATGGTGTATACGTACCACATCTTCTTGATCTAGTCATCTATTTTGGGGCATTTGGGTTGCTTCCATAGCTTAGCTATTGTAAACAGTGCTGCTATAAACATAGGGGTGCAGGTACTCTTTGGAATTGATTTTTCTGTGTCCTTTGGGTAAATACCTAGGAGTGGAATTGCTGGATCATATGGAAGCTCTATGTTTAGTAGGTCAAGAAATCTCCTCTGAGTGGGGAATTAAAAGACTTTTGAGGGACATTTCCTGGGAGAGATTTATCAACAACCAATAAGACAACTTTGGTCTCCAAGTTGCCTCTTAGTAAACGGGAACAGATGTTTTAAAATAGAGACTTCTACGAGAACATCCTGTGGTAGATGTGTATTAACTCCATCCCTAAGCTGATTCTAACTGGGTAGCTTCAACATTTTCTTTTCTGAACTTCAGATGTTTCAAACCTGAACACTGGTGAAGCCTGGTGTAGTGCCAGCATGCACAGGGCAGGTACTCTGTCGATACGTCCAGAGATAAAGGAGAGTCCTGGAGGCCTCAGTGGCTTCTTCTGGCTTTAATGCTTTTTCTATGCCAATTTTTGTGGGGCAAACCCATAGGCTAGCAAAATGGGGAGGCTGTGTTGGGGGAAGGGTTGTAGGTGAGGGCTGGGAGAACTGTCAGCTCCCAGCCCCCAAGGAATCTTTTCTTTCTCTTTGGGCCTTCTCTGGCTTCTAGTGGTCCCTTCCTCTCATAGCCTTTCCCCTGCAGCCACACTAACCCACTCCTAGTCATTCTGCCTCGGCTGTTTTTGTCTCTGAGTGACACTGCCCCTATAGCCTCAGCCTCCAGGTTCAGGTGTGGACACTTACACATAGTAGGTGTGCTCCAGGTGTCCACGATCAAGCACGCATGCCCCACGCCCATGCTCTCAAGTGCCTTCTGCATTCAAGGCCACAGGTTAGAGACAGATGCCATCAATGTAAACGTCTCACCTATTCACTTAGGCTACACCTGGGTCC